CAATAGCGTGCATTAGGGCTTAATTTTAATAATTTGTGGACAAAACTTTAACCCGGGTCATAAGTAGTAGGTCGAAGTTTACAATTATAGTCCATGAAGAGGTTGTACATCTCTATAGAACTTCTGAGCGCACACAATAAGATAGTTCTCAAGTTTTGCCGGTCTTTTATTCCAAGGAATTGGAGAGCTCCTATTTTAGATGACGTCATCGCTCCTCTGGTTCCTACCACAATGGGTATTTCGTCTACTGACGCCACTCCGAGTTTATTTCGAATAATTGGTTTAACGTAAGACATTTATATTTATTAATTTTCGTTATTCTGGCGTTTTTTAATTGATTACCGTCTTCATGGGCTATGGTAACGTCAACTATAAAAGCCTGATTCTGATTATGTATGATCAGATCTAGTTTTAGGTTACCAACCCCTGGGCAATTAATTATTGGTTCATTTGTTATGATGGCGTTTGATTGTTTTTGTTGAACCGTGTTTGAAACGAAGTTGCATACTTCGTTATGTCTTTTAATTATCAAGCGTTTAGTGTAAATACATTTGCCTACTATATGACCCAGTGTTTCAGCAACAACTTTACAATGACGACACAACACAGAATTACTTTTAGTTGCTCTAATGAGAGATACTTTATCGGCTGCAACATTGGCTCTCATCTTTAACGCTGTAATAAATGTACTAGGTTTTAGTAGTGTTGATCGGTAGAGCCATTTGTTACGGTTAACTCCGCCGGGGTGCCAACTCAGTCGGGGAGTCCGCGGTTCTTAAAAGAATAAGGCGGTGTGATAGCGGAATAACGTAGTGTTTTTGGTACACAGTGGTGCTTAAGGCTACGTCCCTGCGGTTACGACAGTCTAGGTTTCCTTAATACTATATGTGCGGTGCTTAACCTACGGTACGGTCGCAGTACGATCGCTGTACGGGCGAGGGACGTTCGCGTATGGCGACGAGACGGTCGCGAGGCGGGCGGTATACGGTCACGATACTGTCGGGTTATGGTCGCGATACGGTCGCGGCCCGGCGTGATACGGCGGAGATAGTGGGAAGACGTTCAGGATACAGGATCAGATGTCTCTGGGGCGGACGACCGCGGTGCACACCTCGTCCTACCCCGGCAATTGGAAGGCCGTTGCCCCGGTGGACGTTCGGATGACGAGGCCTGTTTGCCTCGCGAGTTACACGGTTGTCGCGGTCGCCATTTGGCGGTGGCGTTATCGGCCCGCGAGCTGGCGGTATCGTGGTTGCGGGTCCGCGGGGGCCCGCTATTTCGCGTTCTGTATTTACATTACACATTTGCGACGACAGCCGCGGATCGGCGTGCGATTAGACTATAAGTAGGACCGATTGATGCGCGGATCGATGAGTTGCCTCGGGGCTCCGGCCCCGAGAGGACCTCCTAGGAGGTCCAGGCCGGGGCACCAGAGCTCTCGACGCCATGGCTGACCTGGCGAAGAGATCTCTGGCCGACGGGCCGTAGCATTGTACTATGCTACGACCTGGCAGCTCCCATAGGTCCAGCAGCCGTAGGCGCCTAGCCTCGTCAGTCCTGTGGTTGACCCGGGGTGACCAAGCTAGTGCGCGTTCATAATCTCTGCTGGTGCTTCCGCGGGGATTCCGCACGCTAGCTTACTCGCCACCGCATTTTGCCTTTGGCAGCCGATTCCGTCCAGCTTCCTGGCGCTACCCAGGCTGGCCAGGATTGGTCGTCGTCTCGTTCGCTGTTCGGTTCTACCTCGGCGTACCAGAAGACGAGCCGCGTGGGGCAAGCGGGCAGCAACTCCATCGCAGCGCGACTCAATAAAACAACGCCGGTCCAATCGGGCCACTCCTCCCCCGACTTTGCGTTTGCATTTGCGTTTGCGTTCTCTCGCGTTCGCGCTCCGCTCAGCGCCTTCACTCCGCGCTTCGACATCGCGCCGTTAGATTGTAAGACCGCGTAGCAACGGCTACGACCCGCGCTAGATTTAAGCCGCGTAACTTTCTGTGACGGACCGGGTTCCGACCGTAGCTAGTAAGTCATGTACATTAGCTTTAAGTATGGGCTCCACGCGTCTAACAACCAGAACGTCTTATGTTGTAGCTCGCGGGGCAGGAGACTTCCGCCGCCCGTCCAGCCCGATGGGGATAGGCAACACCCCGTAAACATGTAGTCGACAACGTAGTTCCTTCTAATAAACATATATATATTTTTCTAACATATCTGCCTCGTTATTTACCGACCTGTTCTCTTACGAACCCTGGCACGGGGAAACCGCCGCGATGTGCAACGCCGTGCGCACCGAATCGATCGATCCCGTTACACATTCATTGCCAATTTTGTCGTCGAAGAAGGATTTAACTCCCTTACCTTGAGATGGAAGGCTGGCCCATTTGTAAGCCTCGTTTGTTTTAGCATTAGATTTAAAGGCATCAATCTTTTTATACCTCACATTGGGCCAGGAAACATTGGTAATGGACGCTAGTTTGCGAGTTCTCTTTTCGAGTTGAGACTCATGGGCCAGCTCCTTAATTTCCCTGTCAGGGCTATTAAAATAATTAACACATGCTTTAAGAGTTGCAGATGTTATCACTATTTCTAGTTTTGGGAATCCAAGGCCACCATTTTTTTTAGCCGCATAGATTAAGCCATTAGCCGTGGACTGCGGTAGATGTAGGTATTCTTTGACGGCCACCTTTAAACTCTGGTCAAGTTATCGTATTTGTGTGATCGTAGGATTGCCCAAAACTAGCCCATATAAGTAGTGTGATACTAAATATCTAGCTAGTAGTTCCACTTTCTGGTGGGGTTTTAACGACAATTTTTTTATCTTGCCAATGCATGCTTGGAGCCCGCGGATTGAGTGATTAATTACCACACCTTCCCAGGGAGAAATCTTTATACCTAGATACGTGATGGGTGTGTTAGGCCCAAGATATTTAATTTTCTGGTTATTAATAAATAGCTGTGGATCAGTGATATACCAGCTATCTCTAGTCGTGTTTATTTGAAAGGTCGCACATTTATCGATTGAAACACTCATACTGATTGAATTAAGAAATTTGATAAGAATTTCTAATTGTGCATTAGCTTCTTCAATGTTATTGGCTAATAGTATCAAGTGATCCGCAAAGGCGAGGCAGGCTAGTAAGTTGTTGTCATTAATTTTAAAGCCGAGTCTTTCTTCTAATTGTAATAGAAGGGGTTCAATAACCAAGTTAAAAATCAGGGGGGATAGAGGATCACCCTGTTTAACACCTCTTTTAATATTAATGTTAAGGGACCAATCGTCATATTAAATTTCAGTAGTAACATTCTTGTGAGCGTTCATTAATAGTTGTAACGCTTCTGTGGGTAGGCCTTTAACTTTCAAAGCTTTTAAAATTGCTGCATTGGGCACCGCGTCAAAAGCCCGCGAAATATCAATTTGTGTAATAACCATTCCATGCCGACCCTTAGCAAGTTTAATGACTTCATTTAGAATATTAACATTTTGAAAGCATCCCATTTTCGAAACAAATCCTTTCTGTCGGGGTGTTATTTCAATTTCACTTCTTAGTTTTTGGTCGATTATACCCCAAAATATTCTCCTTAAAATTGGCGATATGGTAATGGGTCTATAGCTTTCTGTCCGAGCGCTATCTTTACCTTCTTTCAACAATAGTTTGGTAATATTTTTCCTCCTGTTGGCGAAATTCTCCAAATGATCTCAGCCCACGAAGTTGGCAACGAAAGTATTTCGTCGGTGCGTCGTTACCGATAGCGGCAGCACCTCTCGGGCCCACTTTGTTCACGCGGTCCCCTCTCCACGCCGGAAACGGCACGATCGATGCCATAATTGATTTTCTTCTTCTTGTTCGATCGCTCGATTCAAGTACACGTGCTTCGCAGCTCACGCTTTCGTTCAAGATACAAGTTTGAATCGTTCACGTTTCCACTCCACGCGACGCGTAATCATTCAGACCGCGCCGTACAATAATTATAAGTGTCCACGCGTCATTAGTATTACGGTAGTTTAAGCATTGTATATATTGTATATTTCTTGAACACTCTGACCACGCGTATCACGTGTCTGTGACTTTTTTGTAAATATATTTATAACACTCCTTCTTTAGGTGTCCAGATTTTTTACAAAAATAGCAAGATATACCCTCCTTTGATTTAGTTCGTGGAGTACTTACTGCCTCACCTTTAGCTCCTTTTTGGTGAACCTTCAACGCCATATCCTCTGTAGCTTTTGTATCCATCTTGGAAATTTTTCGCCTTTGGTCTTCCTCTAGTAGCTTTCCCTTAATTAGCTCCAAGGTTAGGTCTCCTTCTGGCCTTGTTTCCAATGCCGTAACCAATGTATTATATGAATCTGGTAAGCTTCCTAGAATTAAAGCAATTACCATTTTCTCTTTGATCGACTCCCCTCGAGCTTCCAATTCATCTACTAGATTCAGCATCCCGTTGACTTGAACTTCCATGTCTTGATTTTCTGCTAGTCTTGAGCGACACAGCTTCTTTAGTGTATATACTATGTTTGATAGAGATGCCTTTTCATGGTACCTTCTTAAAGATTCCCACGCTTTCTTTGCACTATTTGATTTCTTTATGTGCCTCATTTGGTCATCCTCCACCAATAAACCAATTGTGGATCTTGCATGCATGTCTTCTTCTATCCACTTAGTACCAGGTTCAGCTGGTGTCTCTCTTTCCACTGTGTGCCACACTTTTTCACGCATGAGTAGTAATTGTATTTTTTCCTTCCATATTTGATAATTACTATTATTTAACTTTGTGATCAGGAACTTTACGTCAGCCATTTTTATTATAGTTCACCTTTATTTTGTTTATTCTTTTCTTTTCACCACGTGCGTTCAAAAACTTTTCTCTTTTCCACGTGGCCTGGGCCCATAACCTATTAAACTACACGTGGTCGGGATATCTTTAGTCTAGATCCTTTTCGCACACAATGGCGTTAATCGCGCGAGATTGAGTTGCCGGACAACACGTGTATTACTAACTTTTTATTTCAATACCAACAAAATCCTATCATCAGGATGCACTCTAATTTGTCGGAACATCTTTTCAATATCCGCGGTCAAAACATATGTATAAGAACGAAATCTAAGTAATAATTTATATAGAGTATCTTGCAAAATAGGCCCGTTTAATAGTGTATCATTCAATGAGATCCCTGTAGACGTTTTTGCGGACGCGTCGAAGACTACGCGTACCTTTGTTGTTTCGCTGGACTCCTTTACTACCGCATGATGCGGCACGTAGAAACCCTCGGTTACCTCGTTTACGATGACCTGCGTCATGTGCCCTAAATCCTCGTACTCCTTCAAAAATTCGCTATATCTAACTATTAAGTCTTGATCTAAATGCAATTTGCGTTCTAGTGCATAAAACCTCTTCTGTGCTATTTCTCGCGAATTACCTAAGAGCTGTTTTTGCTCATTGAATGGCAGCTTCACACAATATCGGCCATCTACGTCTCGTACGGTGCTTTGCTTAAATAAATCCTCCGCGGCCCTTTCCTCTGCTGATAAATACTGCTTATCTATGAATTCTTCTATCTCCCAGAATTTGTTTAATGTTTTGTCTAAAGATGTTGTTACGTGAAACGAATTTACCAATGTGGGTGCTCTATATGGTGTTTGTATATTTGATTCGCCAGTAACTATCCAACCTAACAATGTCTTTTGTAGAATCAGCGCCCTACTGCTTAATTGAATCTGTCCGATACTTAACAATTTGAAAAACAGCGTGTTCCCTAATAAGGTATCTATTTTTCCTGGTTTATGAAACTCTGGATCTGCTAATTGAATGTTTCGCGGCAATTGCATGTTTGAACGGTCGACTTGTCGTGAAGGTAACAATCCGGTAATAGAGGGTAGAGTTATAAATAATACCTGATTTGAAAACGAACTATGACGCGCCTTGACAACGGTTTTTACTAGGTATTGTGCCTTGGTCGCTTGTTGACCCAAGCCTGAGAAGGTTAAACTAACACTGTGTTTTTCTAACTGTAATTTCTCTGCTAATTCGTTTGTAATGAAATGAGTTTGTGACCCTCCATCTAATAACACACGACAATCATGCTCATTATTGAATTTGTCTAATATTTTAACCCGAGCTGTACCCAGTAATACTTCAGAACCGCATGTAACCGTTAATGCGGTCGCATTCGTTCCTGAATTTGATGCCTGGTTTCCTACCTGTGTAGTATTATTACTAGTATTTACTCTGTTCTCGTTGTTGGAATGTAGTAAGGTATTGTGTTTCTGATTACATTTTTTGCAACCGTTAGCGTGACAATTATTAACTAAGTGGTTGGATCGAAAGCAATTGAGACATAATCTGCTTCTTTTTATAACATCTAACCGGTCGCGAACTGCTGCTTGCAAAAACTGTTTACATTGATATATTTCGTGATTGTCTTTACACATTACGCATTTATTAACGTTCGCCATTGCTACATAAGTGTGACCCTTAGAACTGACCCTACTTCGTTGAAAACGATCCTGACCCGCGTTTCCCCTAGATGTAGTAGGAACTTCCGTTTCGAGTTCTTCGCCGCGCGCCTGTTTATTTATGAATTTCAATAATTGCTCGAACGTTGGCATCTCGTCGATTTCTAAAGTGCGTTCCCATCCGCGCCGTGTATTTTTGTCTAGTTTTTTGCCTATCAAATAAACTAATATTGCGTCCCACTGTGTTGTAGGTTGACCTAATGTCGCGAGTGCCTCTACATGCATTTGTGCTTGTTCCGCCAAGGATCTTAGATTCGCGGGTGTATCACGCGTTACCTCCGTTAATTCAAACAAAATCTTTAAATGAGACTGAACTATTTGTCGCGGTTTATTGCACCGTCTTTGCAACAACTCCCAAGCTACCAGATAGTTGGGTTCCGACGCATTTAAAGCGGAAATTACCGACGCGATTTCCCCACGTAACGCATTTTTCAATAAATGGAATTTTTGCACCAATGGTATGTCTTGATTATCATGGACTACTGTTTTAAAGGTATCGTGGAAGCTATGCCACTCAATTGGATTACCGTCGTATGGTTTGATCTCTATTTTTGGTAGAAGCGTGCTCTCTTGTCTTATCATTACAGTATTTGGCGACTCTGTGACTCTACCGGAATTTATCAATGTGTGCGGAGCTCGAAATCCCTCAATCCGTCTATTAATGATGCTCATTATTCTGAAATAGTTACGTTCAAAATTTTCCCTTTCGACATTATGATCCGATTCTTCGTCTTCTATTTCTATACTCAACTGAATTTCTTCGAATTTTCTGCCTAACTCTATTGCCCTTTCCTTACGACTTTGTAAATCATGCACGTCGAAATGTTCTCCCTCATTCAAATAGGACTCTATACGCGTAATCTGTGCTTTTATCGAAGCCCGTTGTTTCCTAAGAACCTTCAATTGAGTTGACTCTTGTGTATTAGGCATGTTACAATTATGAGTGATATAACGAACGAGATCGAGATCGATGCTATTTTATACTACGGGAAGTATGTTAAAGGATTGGTCATTCGTAGACTCACCCTACCGACGTTCGAACTCCTGGAACGATTGTGATGCTGATGTGCTTCCTCGATGATGATTCGATGTGTCCTTCCTGAATTATCCACCGGCCGACGGCTGCTTCCCCTGTTAAGGTGTCCGAGTATGGCTGCTTCCTTAGTTGGGTGTCCGATACGGCTGCTCCTTGGATATGTCGGCCGATGACGTGTGGTCCTACGGTGGTGTCGTTGATCTGTCCCCTTTGTACAGAGGCCCAGCTCGAGATGAATGAACGTTGGAGTTGTTTACGTTTTAGTTTCCAACACAGTGTTTCAGCTTCCAAGGATGATGCGTTGATTAGCCTAATCACTCCTTGATGGTTACTGCACCAGTTTCCTTTCTCACCGAGATCCGGCTCGAAGGACCAATGTTGCGTACGTGTTTTCTATTCGAACTGAACAGAGGAACCCGTACTTCGCACGCCGAATTAACCTTGTGCGAATTTTTGTTCTTCAAAATGGACTGTATGGATGTTGGTAGAATAATACTCTAGATAACTCAAAATTCGATTTATTCGTGTTCTATGCTTGCTTTCGTAGAAAAATGATGACTGGTGTTCGTGGTCCTGTTATATTTATAGCGCTACGGTGTGGCGGTTACAAGAATTTGTGCATACTGATTGGTTGTTGAAAAAGGGAGGGGGTGGTGTCGAAAACTACTGGATTTGCTTATGCATATAAGGGAAATTTTGTCCCTTCCGATGGTCATTCGAAATCCTTGAGTGCCCACGCAGGGGTGTGAAGGGTCCTATTTATGACCGTAGCAAGTAATAAACCCAAGGAACACCTCGACTTTTGACGCGCATCTGAATAACATAAAAATTATGACTCGGCTTCGAAACTGGGTATAACGTGTTAGTAAACTAATTTTTGATAAGTAACGGTTCCTTGGACAGGTATTGCTGCTACGGCAACTTATGCTACAAAGAATTCGCTACGCGACAATTTCGTTGTATCGTGTATCTTTACCATATCATCGGTTATCAGTTATCGTACGTCATATATTTCTGTCCACCATTTAAATGATCGCAAAGTGAAAAGCAAGCTGAAGAGAGGATTGACACACGTTATTAAAAATGTCTCCAGACCTAGTGAGCTGCGCGAGTTAAGTATGGTCTCTCGTGAATTGCAGTATATATGTACACCAGAGGTGCTACCAACTTCTGATACAATCGTTACAAATACGAATGTTTTCTGACGTATCTAGAACGTTTCGAAATTTTTTTTTACGACTTATTAATAACCAGGTTTGCCATACCGCAGCGAAATCGTTATTGGCAGCATCGTATATTCGGGTATTTTTAATTTTGCGCCGCCTCCGAAAAGGTTGAAATGTATTTGATATCCTAGTTAACGATTAAGTAGATATTATTAATAGCTGTGGAATATTGGTATAAATGAAATAGAAATTATTTTACACTTTTTAGTGCACTCTTTAGTTCGAAGTCGAATTTGTTTTTTGTTAAAAATTATTTTATGCTACAAATCTTTCATTGCGTAACTCCACTTCCAACATTAGCATCTTTTCTACCTCATCAGCATAGAACGTTTTACCTGTTCTTGGACGTTTAGATGTTTGTTGGTATTGATCTATTCTTACTTGGTTAGGTAGTTCCGAATGTGCTTGCCTTTGGTGTTGGGAGAGACCCCTTTCTGTGAGGAACGTTCTCTCACATCCCAAACACCTTTCTTGACTTTCGTTAGTGGGGGCCAACGCTTGGCCTGCGTTTTGATTTCTTAAGGTGGGACATTTAGGAATATGTGCATTAACCGATTTGAAAGATTCAAACGATTTACTACAATATTGACAAATATAACACAGATCATGCTGGCGATGTGTACTTGCAAAATGATGTATTTCCTCCTTAAGCGTGAAAGCCATATACTTTTTATTGTGTTCTAGGCAAATTTTACAAAGCCGTTCGCTAAAAGGTATCATAATCGTTACCATTGGAGCGCCAGTTTGTCGACTGCTAACCCCCTGTCTAGTTACCCGAAGAGCGGGGTTATACTCATCTTCGTCCGAAGCATTTCCATTGTCATCGAAGGCAATCAAAGTGACGCTCACAGGGCAGCCAACTATGAGGGCGCAATTTACCACTCCGGAATATTACCGGTGGCCCGCCAAGTCGTGCGACTTTGATGGGAGAGGCTGAAGGGCTAGACGCCTGTGTTACGCTTCACCGTCCCTGTAACTACAACTGTCAATGGCAATCTCGTCGCCCCCACGGTGCCACACGATGTAAAATGGCTCCCGATCCCTCCGCACTTCCACGAGGTGGGTGCTGGGCAACGTCCAATTGGCGACAACTGGGCGGCTGAGCCGGAGGGAAGGAACCGTGTGAGCGACGAGAAAGCCTTAAGACAGCCATAGGGACCAACGCCACCGGGGGTTTGGGAGGTCGGTTAGACCCCCCAACACATTTTTCACTCCCCGAGGGGTGTCGGCTGCGGTACGCGATGCGCTTATTACACTAGAATCAGGATAGAAACCGGCCATTTCCGACTTACAGTGCCCATACCCGAAGGTTACGTACACCCGGACAATCCCATCCTTCAGACGTAGGAAGCTCACGCACCGCCCATGAACATCTCATTATACCTGAACCCTCAGGTACCAGGGATCGCCGGTAAACCCCAGCCGGCGCTTCCGAGAGGGCGACGAGAACCGCCGCTGATCCCCTGGGCGCCGAACTGAGGCTGTATCCTTCGAGTTAGTGAACCCGTTCGTTGGCTACATACCGGCGGCGGAGTAGGGTGCAAGCACCCCCTCCGATAAGGCCCGATGCGCGCATGAACGCATTGCCTTATCATTGCTGTCCCTATCTACGTAATACTGCCAACTACGAAGCCGACACCATTCGGGTGGCACTGGCAGCCTAGACCAGTGGAGCTCCACCCTCCCGTAGCACCCATGTCAGTCGGACTTCTCCGACTACGTTTGATGGGTAACCGTCGATGACCACCTACGTGATTCATCTACCACACCTCTTTTCCACCGGCGGCTTCTGTCACCCACAGATGTGGGATTGGGTAGCTCCACCAGTGGTTTTAGGAGTAAGCGGCGTGTGGCCTGCCTGGAGACTCGTCTTGGATACTAGGGTAAAGCCTCGACATCTCAAACGACGGCTCCACCGCTTACCCGCAGCATGTTTAACATACCCATGTGAACTGGACTTCCCCGGTCGCGTTAGATGGGTCACCGCCGATGCCCGCTTACGCGAACATCTACCACACCTCTTTCCCACCGGCGGCTTCTGTTGCCCACAGATGTGGAATTGGGTAGCTCCACCAGTGGTTTTAGGAGTAAGCAGCGTGTGGTCTGCCCTGGAGACTCGTCTCGGATACTAGGGTAAAGCCCCGACACCTCAAACGACGGCTCCACTGCTTACCCTCACAGTTTACCCGCGCTTTTTTGAATTTCTTCACGTTGACATTCAGAACACTGGGCAGAAATCATATTGCGTCATCACCCGTGAGGGCCACCGCAATGCTTTGTTTTAATTAGACAGTCGGATTCCCCTAGTCCGTGCCAGTTTTGAGCTAAGCGTTGAATGGCGGCCGAAGAAGCGACCACGACGGCGTTAACCGCGACGGAAGCCTCGCAGCAAGGAAGATCCCCGGGAGGCCAAGGCACGGGACCGAGCTCGGATCCCGGGACGCGACCGAAGCCGCCAACCGTTCACCTCGCCCAGGCCCAGCACGTCAGCCAGACCCGCTTCCCGACCAAGCCCGATACGCCCCGTTCCTCAGAGCCAATCCTTATTCCGAAGTTACGGATCCAATTTGTCGACTTCCCTTACCTACATTAATCTATCGACTAGAGGCTCTTCACCTTGGAGACCTGCTGCGGATATGGGTACGAACCGGCGCTACACCTCCACGTGGCCCTCTCCTGGATTTTCAAGGTCCGAGGGGAAGATCCAGACACCGCCGCAACTGCGGTGCTCTTCGCGTTCCAAACCCTATCTCCCTGCTAGAGGTTTCCAGGGAACTCGGACGCTTATACACAAAAGAAAACTCTTCTCAGATCTCCCGACGGCGTCTCCAGGTCGGTCATTTTGGGTTACCCCGACGAACACTCTTACGAGGGCCCGAATGGTATGCGGTTCCGCTGCCGGGTTCCGGAATAGGAACCGGATTCCCTTTCGCCCAATGGGTGTGCATCTCTGCATCTACTTCTTATAATTCGATTTAGCCATATTTAACAGTTTTGTTGTTGCTTTTTAACTTTAGGACACCTCATTTACATAGGATTTCTCTTAGGGCTTAAGATCGACTGACTCGTGTGCAACGGCTGTTCACACGAAACCCTTCTCCATGTCAGTCCTCCAGGGCCTCGCTGGAGTATTTGCTACTACCACCAAGATCTGCACCGACGGCGGCTCCAGGCAGGCTCACGCCCAGACCCTTCTGCGCACACCGCCGCGACCCTCCTACTCGTCAGGGCTTCATGGAGGACCAAATTTTGTCCAGCCCCACTTGCCACTAACGGCGGAGTATAGGCGCGACGCTTCAGCGCCATCCATTTTCAGGGCTAGTTGCTTCGGCAGGTGAGTTGTTACACACTCCTTAGCGGATTCCGATTTCCATGGCCACCGTCCTGCTGTCTTAAGCAACCAACGCCTTTCATGGTATCCCATAAGCGTCGACTTAGGCGCCTTAACTCTGCGTTTGGTTTATCCCACAGCGCCAGTTCTGCTTACCAAAATTGGTCCACTTGGCACTCTGATCCAATAATAAAATCTCATGGCTTCATTTGATGCAAGCAAGCCAGAGATCTCACCCATTTAAAGTTTGAGAACAGGTTGAGGTCGTTTCGGCCCAAAGGCCTCTAATTCGCTTTACCAGATGAGACTCGCAATAACGTTCGAGCGAGTGCCAGCT